CCAGGATCCGCCAGGATCCAATAGGATCCACGAGGATCCAGTAGGATCCAGTAGGATTCACAGGATCCACCAGGATCCGAGGATCCAGGATCCGCTTTTTCCCCCTTGAAGATAAGACTCAGGCCCATACTCAATGCGAGATATATGTAATAGCTCAGTTTTTTCACTTTATTCTTCAACGCTCGTTTACAATCGTGTTTCATAAAACGCTGCTAGAACCAAAAGCCGACTGAAGATAACAAAAAAGAATAAAATTAGTTTCACAGTATTGATCGTCATAAACAGCAGTGAATGTTGTCTAGATTTTGAAATCATTTTCCGTATATAATGTATTTCAATCAAGTGTGCATGATCTTTGGGTAATATCTGTCATATATATGATATAATATTTTGAAGTATTTTTTCTGCTTCAATATAGTCTAATTTTCTGTTTAGATAAAATAGAGTTATATTTTTATAACATAATGGCAAATCTGGATGATTACAAGTTAAAACACTTTTTCATATGTTTAATGCTTGACTGTAATAGTTGTGACATGTACTATCATCATCATGATTGTTTTTACCATAATAAACTTCACCAATAAGATTTAAACACTTTGCTACATCACGATGTTGTAAATCATCAAATGTTTTCTTATATATATCAAGTGCTTGCGTAAAATAATTTAATACCAAATCAAAATTTAATAAATCCAAATAGTCTTCATCTAAATTTTTCAATGTGTATCCCAAATCAACATGATCATTTAAGTCAGCCTTCTCTATCAACTTCAATACTATGCAAAATGTTTCAAAGCTTCATAATATTTTTTTGTCTATAAAAGCACTTTCCAATGTTATTGATTCTCATACCCATATCCCTATAATTATCATTGCCCTGTAATACGCGTCTAGCTACATCTAAACTTTCTTTAAAATCTCTCATAGCTTCTGTATATTGACATTTTTTATAATCAGATTTACCAATATTATTTGTGTTCGCGCTAAGATCAATATGATTATCAGTAGGGAAAATTCTTTTGTCGCGTTCATACGACTTCATTTGATAGTATAATGCTTCATCATAATATCCTTTATGATAATCAGAGATGGCAAGTCATTTTTTCAAGTCATTTCAAAAAATCTTCATACATTTTCTCATTGGAAGAGTATGGCCATATGATGTCTTCTGAGAGTATCCCCGGAAACTTGATTATGTCCTATGGGTAAGAGGTAGATAGATATATAGGTATAGGAGGTATAGGAGGTATAAAGGTATAGCAGATATACTACCAACAACAATATGGCTGCAACTCGTATTTTTGATGTAACTTTTGAAAGGAAGAAGATTGAGAGGTGCGGTTTTCACCATTGGAAAGAGGAAATTAAGACGCATCGAATCATACGTTATTGACTATCGATTTAGTTTTTCTCAAGTATTCAATTTAACGTTTTCTGGAACAACGGTTTTCATAGCAGAATACAAGCAGTTCTCAACTATTTAAAATTTATGCAAAGCAACAGGTGACGATTCATAAAACTGTGCAACACTATGATTTTTGGCTTCAATTATTTAGGAGCTATGGGTACTGTACGCGGAACTAGAAGCCGCTTTAGTTTTAACAGTTCTTGTGAAACATAGAGCTTTTTTCTCCTGAGAGTGTGGGTAATTTATTCATACTAACACCCATATCCACACCATCCAATTCAAATTTTCCACTCTCAGGTTTCAACCCGAAAACGCTCTGAACAATCATGATTCTCTAAACATAACGCAAACATATCATTGCAGGAGGTGAGAATGATGCAAAAAGGAGTTCCATCGATAGTCACTAACACAAATGCACACTCACCGACAAGCGCCGCCGGTATGGGTGCGGCCAAACGAGTTTCACCAAACACCACTTAGATAAAAACATACCCACACACAAACACCACAGGTGAGGGTACGGCAAAAGAAGCTTCACCAAATAGGACTTACATTAAAAAAATACTCACACACAAACGCCGCAGGTGAGGGTGCCGCGAAAGGAGTTTCACCAAATACGACTTACATTAAAAAATACTCACACACGAAGGCCGCAGTGTGTGGGTGTGGTGTGTGGGTGTGGGTGGCGTGCTGGTGGCGTGTGCGTGTGGCTGTGGGTGTTGGTGTGGGTGTCGGTGTTGGTGTCGGTGTAGGTGTGGATGTGGGTTTGAATCACCTCTTTACCCACACCCACACCCTACATATGGCAACGCCATCGGTCCAATACACGACGCCAGAACTTCGAATAATTTGTTAGGATCAGGCATCTGAAACGCAAAACATGTATTCTTATATTCAATTGATTGTACCTGCCGTTTAAAACGGTTACAAAAATCGTGTAGACTTCAAATAACACATATCAATTATGAAGCACCAAAGAGATTAACATCTGTACATATAAGCATCAATATACCTCCTATACCTGCTATACCTCTTATACCTCCTATACCTATATATCTATCTACCTCTTACCCATAGGACATAATCGAGTTTCTGGGGATACTCTCAGAAGACATGTAATCAGTATGGCTCTAATTTTAATATGGCTAAATTCAGCAATATTCAGGCTACAAAATGATATATTATGGTCAAAGCTTTTCTTTACCAAAAGCGCCGTAATATCTCTAAAACACCTTGACTTGATGAAAATGACTTGGCTTAATCAGGTCAAGTCAAGTCATGGTGTTTTAAAAGTATTACAGCTCTTCTCATGAAGAAAAATTTTAACCATAAAATATCATTTTGTAGTCTGAACATTTTTGAATTTAGCCACATTGAAATTAGAGCCATGCTCTTCACATAAGAAAAGGTATGAAGATTTTTTGAAATGACTTGAAAAAAATGACTTGCTCATCTCTGACGATAATGAACCATGCACATATTGTTATAATATTCAGATATGTCAGAATGATCGTCGGTTACCGAGTTTTCAATGTATTCGTATGATTTTTTAAAATATTCTAAAGCTAAATCATCTTGTCCTCTATGATAATATGTAATACCAATTCTGCTTAATATGTACGCTTTAAGTCTTTTGTTATTGTTACTGAGATCATTTTCAATTGTCCAAAAAGCTTTCAAATAATAAACCAACGTAGTATCGAATTTACCTTGAAAATCATATGTATAACCTATATAGCTCAATATTCTCCCAAGTTTGCTAGGAGAAGATGATTCAATTTTGATACATAAATCATAAGCATGCTGTAAATACTTTTTTGATAATTCAAACTCACTTATACCAAGAAATACTCGTCCTAATCCTCGATAGATGTCAATGATAGTAGGAGCATTTTTATCAGATTGAATAGTTAATAAATTTTCAAAATAGTAATGGCATTTACTATATTCTCTTACATCATACAGTAGATTACCAAATAAAACTAAAACATCTAGTTTACCATCGTTCATTTCATTTCTTTGGAAATTAACATATTTTTTAGCTATTTCTACAGCTTTTCCCGAAGGAATCATTTTGCACATCCAACATTTCTTGTCATCATTATAGAAAAATTTTTCTATTTCAAAAACTGTTCCAAGATCAAATAAAAATTCTTCTTCGTCTCGAAGTTGACTGTAGCATGTAATATTAGCTACAATACATGATGAATGCAAATTTGTATTGTAATTAATTTCAAAAATAATCGACTCTAAATTGTTGCTATTAGTATTAGGATTAACAACATCAGTACTGACATACATTTCTGTTACATTTCGATTTTCGTTTGTTGAAAGAAATTCGTTGGTTGATATCAGGTGATCAACACTATTTTTTAGGCGTTAGATTTCATCTTGTGTCTATTTCGTTCCTCGATAAAGTTTCAATACTCTATAACATTCCAATACAATTGGATCATTATCAGCTAATTGTGAACATAAATCAATCAGAAAAAAACGAAATGTATACAGCGATTCGATGTCTTCTGCTCGTAAAGCTTTATTTATTAATTTAAATATAAAAATATCCTTTTTATACCATTCTTCTGCATTAAGAATCGTGGGTGGGTGTGGGATTTGGGACGAGGGTGTGAAATTTGTGGCATGGAGCGCGGGTGTGAGGTTTGTGGCGTGGGCGAGGGTGTGAGGTTTGTGGCGTG